CATTTAAAAAAAAAATCTCTAAGTTATATAAGGATCTTTTTACATATTTAATTCCTTCACTGTGTTTATATTTTCTTTTAAAATCATCTTATTTCAAGGACAGGTAAGCAATAACTACCTAATATAGGTCACTTGAGAAATTCCTGTGAATAGACATTTGAGTTCTGTGCCAGTAATCATGTAATGTACGAAGAAGATCAAGATCAAGAAGACATGATGGCTCTTAGCCTACTTTAAATGCTATGAGGTCACCAGAATAGTATGTGGAATGGTTGATTCTGCTTAGAGGGCTGGCGAATCCAAGAAAGCATCACAGAGAAACGTCAGACGTCCTCTGGTTTGGACATAAAATTGTTGAAGAAAACCTTTATGTTAGGTTTGGCTTGATATAAAGAAAAAGGATCCCTTCTCGGCTCTTGGTCCTCCAAGAGGAATGACATGGCAGGTATAACAAATCTACCATTGGGTCAGGTGGTAAGCTATTACATGGTTTAGAATTAACTCTTTATTTTTTTGTTTTGTTTTGTTTTGTTTTGAGGCAGAGTTTCGCTCTTGTTACCCAGGCTGGAGTGCAATGGCGCGATCTCGGCTCACCGCATCCTCCGCCTCCTGGGTTCAGGCAATTCTCCTGCCTCAGCCTCCTGAGTAGCTGGGACTACAGGCACGCGCCACCGTGCCCAGCTAATTTTTGTATTTTTAGTAGAGACGGGGTTTCACCATGTTGACCAGGATGGTCTCGATCTCTTGACCTCGTGATCCACCCGCCTCGGCCTCCCAAAGTGCTGGGATTACAGGCTTGAGCCACCGCGCCCGGCTAGAATTAACTCTTTATTTACTTCCTGGAGGTGGGGAAATTCTCTCTATCCAAGTGTTCTGAGTCAATCCTGGTAAATGTGAATCAGCATGTTAATTCCCTACCTTCCCCGGTCATCTTAACTCTGTAGCTTGATGACATGAATATACGGAGCAAAAAGACTTTGGTCTAAATATCAAAGTTTATTGAAATAAAATATAATCTATAATAAAAAATACTACAGGTGTTATTCACTGGTTACAGTTTTAAGTATATTAACAAAAACAGCCAACATTTTAATCCAACAAGGACACTATCTTTGTGATACAATAACAAACTTGAAGTAAATTTTAAAGAATACTGAATAATTCTGTCAGAAATATTTTATACTTTCCCACCTTTTTGGGAATATCCTCCAAAGTGAAACTTTTGAAACTGAACACAGTGTTTTTAAGAATTAAGTAGGTTTAGAATAATTAGCATTTAAAACAATAAATTCATTTCACAGAAATTCAGCTCAACCCTAAGCTGGGGAGATGGTTTTAGGTATCTTTATTAAAAAAAAATGTATTTCAATGCTTTCCTATGAATTTCTAGGGTTGCTATTATTCCTTAATTGAAATTAAAGCTGGTCATAAAGTAAAACAGATGAATTATTTCAAAAGTAAAAAGGGTATTAAGATAGAAAATGAAAGAAGAAGAAAAAAATAGGCACTCATATACAATTTATATATTTAAATGCTGGAGAACTCAATAGCCAATCTCCGCCTGGCACAAAAAGATCTTTGATACGTCACAGCAAATTGACCCAATTAGTCCAACAATAAAGTAGAGAAAGAAAACTTGTTTCTCTTCCTTGCTGTATTTCAAGATAATTTTCCACTTGCTACTCCTAACAATATGTGCCTCAATCCAATTGTTCTGCACAATCCAAGGAAAAAGATGGCTTTAGGAAATGACTTTCAGGGTACCTCTGAAGTTACACAGCAAACATGATCCATTTTGCTGGCTGCTGTGCACCAGTCATACGCCAATCTCCTCTTGTTGTCCTACTTGCAATGTGTGAATCTGTAACAAGTTGACTATTTATTTATTTATTTATTTTAATTGAGATGGAGTTTCACTCGTTACCCAGGCTGGAGTGCAATGGCGCGATCTCGGCTCACCGCAACCTCCACCTCCTGGGTTCAGGCAATTCTCCTGTCTCAGCCTCCTCAGTAGCTGGGATTACAGGCACCCGCCACCATGCCCAGCTAATTTTTTGTATTTTTAGTAGAGACAGGGTTTCACCATGTTGACCAGGATGGTCTCGATCTCTTGACCTCGTGATCCACCTGCCTCGGCCTCCCAAAGTGCTGGGATTACAGGCATGAGCCACCGCGCCCGGCCCACAAGTTGACATTTATTAAGCAAGATAACAAAAATCTCTGAGGTCTTTTCAAAACCTCATCTTTAAAAATCTGTAAAACAGAGATACCCTATGTACCCTGAAAAAAATGCTTATTTCACATAATATGTGAAAAACAATAAAAATTCTGACAAAATTGAGAGACATACAAGACAGGTCTTCAAGGATTAAATACCAATATTAGTCTTAAAATATATTGCAATTATGTTTACAATGTAAGATTTGTTTAAAAAATTTTTAAAAACACATTGCATTAGTTAGAACTGCTTTGTCAGGTATTTCAGTTACAAGGCCTATTTTGAAAGGTCACTGATTTGAGAACTTAAAATGGGAATTTCAGTTTCTTGACTTTTTTTTTTTTTTTTGAGACAGTGTCTCACTCTGTTGCTCAGGCTGGAGTACAGTGGGGCAATCTTGGCTCACTGCAACTTCTGCCCTCTGGGTTCAAGTGATTCGCGTGCCTCAACCTCCCGAGTAGTTGGGATTACAGGCATGTGCCACCATAGCTGGCTAATTTTTTGTGTGTTTTTAGTAGAGACAGGGTTTCAGCACGTCGGCCAGGCTGGTCTCAAACTCCTGACCTCAGGTGATCTACCCACCTCAGCATCCCAGAGTGCTGGGATTAAGGGCATGAGCCACCGCACCTGGCCGCTTTCTTGACTTTTTATTTACAGCTATAAAATAGTTATGAGAGCCGAAGGAGCCAGGATCACCTTCCAAAACATTTTATTTTATGCATCCCTAGTCTTATGAGGCATTTTTGCTTCTCAAAGCAGGATATTACAGTGCAGATTAAAAGTGGATATTAAAGTTAATGGTGACAAATTATTAAGTGGTTTGAAGAAATTCTTAGAATACCAGATAAAGTAGAGAGACTTACTGGCAGAGTAAGAAGTCTACTGGGGTTCGAAGCTTAGGTTTTATATTTCTGCCATGGTATCTCAACAGTTTCTCTGGGATAGTATCATGGCCTAAAAAACAGCTGTATTAGGCAGACAAGTCTAAATCTCCTTTCTCAGGACTACAGGGCAAAATGAACTGGAGGCAACAGTTGAAGAATTTTACCCTGTTTTTGAAGTTTAATTTTCTTGAGATCAGAAAAGTAAAGTTAGAAACTAGAATCCTTCATGTAAAAAGTATGTATGCATATCACAATTTATTAAACTCTAATTTCTAATGGCAGAAACACCAGGATTGAGTAGGAACATGCATGAAATAAAATTTAGATAGATATTCAAAATCAGTTAAATTTACCAGAGTCCTGCATTTGGCCTCTCCCATGCCATTATCTCTATTTTGCAATATGTTTTGTTCAGGGAGCCTCTGATTTTAATAATTAAAGTGTCACCTGAGAAGAGTAACCTCAATTCTTCATGTTTTCTCAACAGTTTTAGAAGTGTTGGACATCCTTAACAAAAGATAATAAATTATCAGAAAATCTAAGAACTCTAAGATTCTGATGAGTTCCTTTACCATTTTCAGCTACTTTCTAAAAGGGATTTAACATCACATTGTCAAGTAACATTTTACACTAAAAACACAATTTATATAGCCCTAAAATAATAGTATTTGAGAGATCTAAATGAATTCGACCAATGCAAACAAGTTTATATTCTGTATTAGTAATTTGATACTACTGTACTTTATTCCACGGAGAAAAAGGCAAAGAGAATCTAAATATTTAGGTCTGTGAAAGATACTAGAAAAAATAGATTTTTAAATGCTTCTGATACTCCCAAAATACTCTTGATTTTGACTCTATAGTCTGTGGAACACAAAAGCAACTGTAAAATGCATTTGGGAAGAGATGATGCCATACTCAAAGAAAAGGTAATTCTACACATTTTGAGAGCGGTAAGAAAAAAACTGATTTAAGATACATTTTGTTGAGAAAAAAGTGTGCACATTCAAGAACACAGGATGTGTAATATTTGTGATAACTTAAGTCATACTTTGTGCTTATACTATGCCCTGTATTCAGGTGTGTAGAGCACTTAACCAAAAAGAGCATCCTTCACATATTTAAAGAGTACATTGAGGCACAGAAAGTTTGCCCAAGGCAAAATAGAAAGTCAGGTTTTTAGACACAAAATGTTCTAGACTTCTTCATGTCCAATTCCTTAAAATACAAATTGTAGACTATTCGTAATGCCTCCATCTTATCTGATCAAACATTAGTTACTTTACTATTAGAAGTCTGTACATAAGTACTGTGTGATAGGTAATGCCCATAAGCTTTTTATCATGTTTTAAAATAACTAGTGCATGGAACAGGAAAAGTTAATCAAATGTAATCAATTAGCTTTTTCCTTTAAACTTAAATAAATGAGTTACTTGAGGACAGTTCTGGAAATTCTTGCGTGGATTTTTCTCCAGCAAAAGTTTAGATATGTGGTTTACATGTCAACATTAATATATGAACTACAATTATTTTCTTACATATTTATTGGCCTTCTAGTTCTCTTTCCTCTCATGATCTGTCTCTTAGTGAACTGACTGATTCATTGGAAAAAAAAATGCCTTCTGCTGACAAGTGGGATTGGAAAAAGAAAAAAGAAAAAAAATGCTAAGAAGGTTTTGTGCCAGTACAAAATGATTTATCTTGGGTTCAGTCAACTAGCCTCTGATACTAACTTGCTCAGTTAAGCCAAGATCAAGAAGTATGAGAAAGAACTTGGAACATGATAAATAAATTTGAAACATAACATGGGATAAGTAGTCAAAATTAGAAATGTGAGACAATAAAAACAAGACATATTCCAAAGCCTAACCCTAAATTTAAATCTATGCTTCATTCAGGTCTGAAACTGACCTTGAAACATGGAAGACGTTACTTTGCCTAAGCACACGGGACCAGTGTAAAACCAACGCGGATTTTGGCTGCCTCATGCTGCTTGGATTCTTAAAATGGTGATTCTTAAATGCGAAGGAAAGTTTTGAATTCTTTTGAGAATCTAACAGAGGTCATGAAAACTTGTTCAGGAACACACACGTACAGTAAGTACTTTTAAGTATTGATCAGGTACTATAAATCACAGCACTGTGGATACAATGGGATTAGACATGAAGAAAAATTTTGTATTTTTAATAAAGACTGGTTACTAACCTTAAGGAACAGACTTAGACTCTGAAAGTAAAAGGAAGGTGCAATGACCGCATTTCTTCATTCATCTGCCTCTTTTTCAAATCTAATGATGATCTGCTTGAAGCAAATGTGTCCCTAATCTAGCCTATAAACAATAAAAACAAAAACGTTTAAGTTCTAACTTTTGTTAGCACTGTACATGTAATAATTTTCAAGTATTACAAAATACTGGGAAGGAAAGACTTTAATATACCACTATAAAAATCCTATATACTCAAACCAGCAATGAAATGCCTGGATATATAACATGTTACCTTGGGCAAAATTTAAGAAAATAAAGACAAAATCATTCTAAATTTTTTTTTCTTTTTTTTTTCAGATGGAGTCTTGCTTGCTCTGTTGCCCAGGCTGGCATGCAGTGGTGTGATGTCAGCTCACTGCAAACTCTGTGTCCTGGTTTCAAGTGATTCTCCTGCCTCAGCCTCTGAAGTAGCTGGGATGACAACTATCTGCCACTACCCTTGGCTAATTTTTGTATTTTTAGTAGAGACAGGGTTTTGCTGTGTTGGCTAGGCTGGTCTCAAACTCCTGATCTCAGGTGTTGTACCTGCCTCAGCCTCCCTAAGTGCTGGGATTACAGGCATGATCTAAATTCTTTATAATCTTCAAGGACATGAATTCAGTCTCTCTGAAAACTTTGTTTAATACAATTGAATATTTCATTCCCCCTCCAACAGTAATCAAAGCAAACATTTTATCATTATTATTCTGGCTATATCCAACTAAATTCCAGGAATGTAAGAGTCTTACTTGGAAATATTACATAGAAAAAGGCTGAATTAACAAATGAAACGTTTTAGTTTTTCCCTGTAAGTATACACTGACATCTATCTACTTATCTGAGAGCAGCACTGCTGGTTGTGAGTGAGTTTGTTTCCTTTCCTTCCAGAGGGAATGCAGTCGGCAGTATTATCTTTGGAACAAATCAACACGATAGTAACAAATAACAGAAGAAATACTTCTACACATATATTTTCCATGGGCAATAAATAGTAAGTATATAATTATGAAAAAATATGCCTCGACTATGCTTTTTAAAGTTTCTCAAGGTTTACTGGTTTGTTTTTCATATTAAAATACAATGCATTATCACTACTATCTATCCTGGGAAAAACAAACCCTGAAGTTCGAGTTTCCTCCTGCAGCCAATAGAGTGATAACAAGAGTAAACTTGGATTGAGGTCAACCTGTTTGAGCCAACAGAGAGTTCTGTAGTATATGTGGTTATTTTACTAATGTATACATATTCTAGGTTATTATCAAGATCCTCATCAAATATTTTCTATCAAAGTTTTATATCCCAAACAGGTTCTCTGATGATTTATCATGCTACCACAGGAAGTTTGAAGAAATAACAAACTGTGTAACAGAATAGACATGCAATATAGAGGACATAAAAGATACAGCTTGACCCTGGATTTTTCCCTTAGAATAATTCCTTCCATAAATAAGACTTTATCTTTACATATAGATTTGTCCTATAACTGCTCTTGGATCATAAAGTTAATGACATAGTTGAAAACATCTAGACCACACATTTTTGTGGTCTTCTGTCACGCTAGACCACACACACAAAAAAACATTCTCCAAGTGGATGCGCAGGTCAGATTATGATGCTCGTAAAGAAAGAAATGTACTGAAGCTTAGAATGTAAAGCGCACAACTATGTGCAGCAGCAACAGTCTTTCAAAAATGACTAAAACATTTTCAAATATAAGGCATATAAAACGGACTATAAAGGACAGTTTTCCAAACTATACCTAGAAATACAGGAAAATATGCATTGCCTCATGATAAAGTTAAATAAATATTATTTCTGAGTTCTATAAACACTCTAAGAGGTTATAGTTTTATTTGGTTCCCATAAGTTAAAAACTCTGATTGCTTTTACATAAATTCCTCCAAAATTCTGAGCTACTATCAGATTTTTTTTTTCTTTTAAGATGAAGCCTTGCTTGGTCACCCAGGCTGGAGTGCAACAGCGTGATCTCAGCTCACTGCAACCTCCAACTCCTAGGTTCAAGCGATTCTCCTGCCTCAGCATCCCAAGGAGCTGGGATTACAGGCATACACCACCAGGCCTGGCTAATTTTTGCATTTTTAGGAGAGACACGGTTTCACCATGTTGGCCAGGCTGGTCTCGAACTCCTGGCCTCAGATGATCCGCCTATCTCAGCCTCCCAAAGTGCTGGGAGCCACTGTGCCCGGCCCTCTGGTTTTTATTAATGTCGTTTCACAAGACAGAGATTATCTCTAACTTCCTTTCAGAAATGTGCTTTATCATTGATTTTAATAAGTATACTTAATTTTCTACCAATAAACATGACTTAAAATTTAAGGTTCAAGGTAATTCTAGAAAAAGTGGACACTGAACTGCTTTCTACATCCCCATATTTACAAGGCCTGGCATCCACTGTGCTTTCCTCCACACCCTCACTTAATCACACTGTCAATAAATAGTAACTGTGGTCCAGGTTACCTATGATAAAGACTCCAAAATTCCTCAAAAATTTACAACACTACAAAGTCATTTATACTGATTTTGATAGGTTATAGTATTAGTGTTATGTAACTTTTTGCTATTGGAAAAGAAATACAAATCTTTATTTTCGCTATCTAAATTAAATCTAAGCTCCATTTTCAGTTCTCAAGATAATATCTAAAATGTACATTCCTAAATAAAGGTAAAGCTGTTCAAGGGCTGAACTAGTCCAATATACAATTAAGGGTTATTTATTCCTATTATTTTATTTGTTTTTGCTTTTTTGAATCCCTATATTAAGCCCGTGGTTTCTCATGGATTAGATCGTAATTTAACAGTGCAAAGTTTCAGAAACTATTGTGCTAATATTTAGATTTCAGGAAGGAATCAGACTAAATCAATTACCTCCATTCATTGTTAGAACAGAAGATAGAATAGCTTACTAACTGATGAGTTATGAATGTCACTATGACACAAAATCTGCTGTGATTTGCTTATCTGGCTACAAGTGCAGTATTTTTTATGAATGACAACACACAGCATTTCCAACTTGCAACATGAAACTCCAGCTCATAAACAGTGTATTGTGTGACTTGAAAAAGTCTGATTGTAACTAAGTAACAACTTTCCCCTGAAAAAACATGAACAGAATCCATTGGGAAATCAGGCACAGACGGTATTGATCGATTTTCTTCTTTCCTCCCGTGGTTTTGTTTATCAAGACACATAGGTGGTTCCAACAGAAGCCAACACTTGTTACAAAATAACACAGCTATTTTTTTCCTTTTCTTTTTCTTTATCTTTTTCTCGTGGTTCCTTCCTTTTACGTTCACTATTCCCGGATTGTCTTCCACTTGATGGAGAGGCTTGTGTTGGCTGGCCCTGCTTTAAGAAAAATACAGAGGAAGAAATTACTCCAGCTATTCTAAGGGACTTATTTATGGTTATCTAGAAAGAAAAAGTGACAGGAATCACTGATGATAAAAGAAGCTATTGGTATACAGATCTGTTATATTGCATGGTATCTGAGCAACTGCCTCTACCATTCTGGATATAATTAATATATGCATTATTCTAAATAAATGAAATTTTTCTTTTCTTTTCTTTTTTTGAGAAGGAGTCTCGCACCGCCGCCTTGACTGGAGTGCAATGGTGCAATCTCGGCAAACTGCAGCCTCCGCCTCCCCGATTCAAGTGATTCTTCTGCCTCAGCCTCATGAGTAGCTGGGATTACAGGCACCTGCCACCACACCCGGATTGTTTTTTGTATTTTAGTAGAGACTGGGTTTCACTATGTTGGCCAGGCTGGTCTCCAACTCCTGACCTCATGATCTACCTGTCTTGACCTCCTGAAGTCTAAATTTCATAGAATAAATAACATGATAATACTGCCTAAAGTCATATCTTTAAGACATGTTTGTTAAAACTTTAGAAAGTGTTAAAAAAAAAAAGTGATACCTTTTGATAAAGATAGTCCTTCAAAACCTCATTAAATACCATAATAAACTTTTTTTTTTTTTTTCTCAGAAGCTAAGAGAGGTAGAGGACGTCATCTAAGGGGCTGTAACTAGGAAGGAAAGACAGGAGCAGGAAATGCAAATCCACATTTATCTGGCTCCAAAGTATTTTTTTCTAGTCGTAGGTCATTCTGCCCTCTAGCTGATAGAAAGGACTTTGTTCAAATTGGCTTATTTTCTTTGCAGCTATTATGAATTTTAAAAATAAATTTGAAAATCAGAACCTCAGGAGAAAAAATTTTACTCAACAACATAATTATTTAGGACAACATCAGAAAACCCATGGATTCTAAAATCCTAATAAAATTGAAGAGTTAATACCTAATTTAAAATTTTTTTATCTAAAGCAGAAATTTATTGCTAAAGTGATCATTACATTTTTTTTTTTTTGAGACATTCGCGTCTTGCTCTGTCACCTAGGATGGAGTGCAGTGGCACAATCTCAGATCACTGCACCCTCTGCCTCCCAGGTTTAACTGACTCTCCTGCCTCAGCCTCCTGAGTAGCTGGGATTACAGGTGTGCCACACCATTCCCGGCTAATTTTTGTATTTTTAGTAGAGATGGAGTTTTGCCATGTTGGCCGGGCTGGTCTCAAACTCCTGGCCTCAAGCAGTCCACCCACCTAGGCCTCCCAAAGTGCCGGGATTACAGGTGTGAGTTTCCGCATCCAGCCATGACCATCAAATTGAAGACTCAGAACACGACTCTTACCTGAGCCTGTGTAGAAGCAGCGGCAGCCGCTGCTGCTTGTTCCTGTTCCTGATAGTACTGAGAAGCTCGTCTGTCCTCTTCCTCTTGAAGTTTCTTTGCTAGTTCCAAATCACTGATTCCTTCTGGGATTTGTTCCCAATTGATCTCTTGGCTCTGCTGTTCTTGTTGTAGAGATAACGCCATAAGATAATCCTAGGAAATTAAAATATAATCATCATTAGCTATGAGCTTTTATCCAAGAACAAGTGACTGCAAATATAAATGTTTTATCTATAAAGCTGTAAGAGTAGCTTTAAAAATATATACCAGGCCTGGGCAATATAGCAAGACTCTTTCTCGACAAAAAAAAGTTTAAAAATCAGCCAGGTATGGTGGTGTGCACCTGTAGTCCTAGCTACTTGGAAGGCTGAGGCAGGAGGATCACTTCAACCCAGGAGTTTTAGGTTACAGTGAGTTATGATCTCTTCACTGCACTCCAGCATGGGTGACAGAGATAGACCCTGTCTATAAAAAAGAATACAACAAAAACAAAAAAAAGACAGCCGGGCATGGTGGCTCATGCCTGTAATCCCAGCACTTTGGGAGACCGAGGCAGATGGATCACCTGAGGTTGGTAGTTTGAGATCAATCAGCCTGACCAACATGGAGAAACACTATCTCTACTAAAAATACAAAATTAGCCAGACATGGTGGTACATGCCTGTAACCCCAGCTACTTGGGAGGCCGAGGCAGGAGAATAGCTTGAACCTGGGAGGTGGAGGTTGCTCTGAGACGAGACTGAACCATTGTACTCCAGCCTGGGCAACAAGAGCAAAACTCTGTCTCAAGAAAAAAAAGAAAAAGAAAAACAAAAATAATAAAATAAAAATGTTTTGGGCCAGGCGTGGTGGCTCACACCTGTAATACGAGCACTCTGGGAGGCCGAGGCGGGCGGATCACAAGGTCAAGAGATCAATACCATTCTGGCCAACATGGTGAAACCCCGTCTCTACTAAAAATACAGAAAAATTAGCCGGGCGTGCTGGCGCGCGTCTGTGGTCCCAGCTATTCAGGAGGCTGAGGCAGAAGAATCACTTGAACCCGGAGGTGGAGGTTGCAGTGAGCCGAGATTGCCTCAGCCTGGCGACAGAGCAAGATTCCGTCTCAAAAAATTAATAAAAAAATAAAAACATTTTATTTTAAATATTAAAATGAAAGTTATCTTCTTATTTCCCTTGGGGAGCTATTAACTTATTTCAGTGATTCTATCATTGTTCTAAATATTTTTGGAGTCTTGGCGTGGTGGCTAATGCCTGTAATCCCAGCACTTTGAGAGGCCGAGGCAGGTGGATCGCTTGAGCCCAGGAGTTTGAGACCAGCCTGACCAACAGGGTGAAACCCGGTCTCTTATTAAAAACACAAAAATTAGCCAGGTATGGTGGTACATACCTGTAATTCCAGCCACTAGGGAGGCTAAGGCAGGAGAATCACTTGAACCTGAGAGGCTGAGATTGTGCTACCGCACTCCAGCTTGGCCGACAAAGCAAGACTTGGTTAAATTAAAATTAAAAAAAAAAAAAAAAAAAAGGATAATTTATTTGAATTTTTTTTTTTTTTTTTGAGACAGAGTTTCCCTCTAGTTACCCAGGCTGGACTGCAATGGCGCGATCTCGGCTCACCGCAATCTCCACCTCCTGGGTTCAGGCAATTCTCCTGCCTCAGCCTCCTGAGTAGCTGGGATTACAGGCACGCGCCACCATGCCCAGCTAATTTTTTGTATTTTTAGTAGAGACGGGGTTTCACCACGTTGACCAGGATGGTCTTGATCTCTTGACCTTG